TCGCTCAACGTGATCTACATTTCTAAAAAATAAAAATTAAAAAAATGTCAATAGGGGGGTAGAGGGGGGCAAAAACGGGCAAATTGCAGATACATTTTAGACTGTTTATCACGGCCAGGTTTCTGAACCAATCTTAGCGCAACTTTTGCCGATCGAATTCACATGGATCAGGAATTCACATGGATCCTAAAAATATGCATTTTCAAAAATCATAGGCGGATACAGATCATTGAGATTGGGGGTACACAAAAAGTATAGTAAATAAGGTTTTTGCTGGTATTGTTTCTAAAAAGGGTGGTAATGGTCTTGTTGTGTTACAATTTTCTTATGAGAGAACGACTACAATTGTATTGGTCATGCATAGGCGGTGTCAGGGCACCTATGTTGGGAGGTAAAACATAACCCCCCTTTTTGGACGCCTGGATCCGCCTATTATAGCAAAAACGTCAAAAGAGGATGCACAATAACTTTGTATATGTTAACACATGATATCTTTCATTCACTGTTCGTAAAACTGGTGCAGCATCGTGATCTTCGCCCAAATGACTCGCTTCACGAATAGGACCCCCCAATTCCCAGTGCTCTGGAGCCGCCCCTGGTAAAGGTATGAACTTAAAATTTTCAGGGGATGTGCCCAATTTAGTTTAAGGAAAAGTCAGAAAATTTCAGCATCGTAGCTTCAGCGGTCTCGGAGATATTTCCGAAAAACCTGAGGGGTGGATAAAAACAACCCCCTGCCACTAATAGGGTTAATTTGAGATGACTACACATTTGCCGGTTTTTGCCTTCGACCTTGGCCTCTGACCATGAAAATTGACCTGAGGTCAAAAATGTTAGGTGCTTTAGAATCGTCTCGTAAAAATCTTTCGTTTGGTATCGCTTTTGTTTCCGTAGCTCCCTTAATTACGGAGTTGGACAGGGGGCGAAAAACGCCCCCGGACTGCGGTGGTTGGGATTACCCCCCGGGCCCGGCCGGGTTAAAGACAGTGACAAATTTTTCCTGATGATGGCCTAAGGTCAGGCTTGGGCAGTTCTTCGACCTCTGCGTAATGCATTATATGCCTAATGCCAAAGAGATATTTCGGAAGTGTTTAGTTCCAGTATAAAAAGGCGTTTAGGCGGCGTTTGATGATACAAGCCCTGTTCATTTGACATGGCCCAGCTCGCCTGTAATGATGAAACTGGATCACTTGCACCGGCTTCAAATAGCTCCACAGACGGGTGGAAAGTAAAGCTTTGCGTGACGCTGATGAGTTTATGTTATGTAAAGTATACACTATACATACACACCCTGACCACTCACCACACGGACGTTGTTTCCAGACGGCCGTGTCTGCTCAGTTTATCGCTCACTGCACCCGACTGCAGCTCAACATTTCGCTCCTGTGATCCGTACCAGAGCTCGTCTGCAGTTTTGCTGCAGCTCACGATACACGACGGACTTGTATCCCGCGCCCCGCTGGGGGGGGGGGGGGGGGGCAGAATCTGGCGCCCCCTCCCGTTTTTTGTCAATAATGTCCAAACGCGTTAAGCCAGCGACGTCAATCTTTTAGTATCTTATCATACATCAATTCGACATGTTTCCTTAAAATTTGAGCAAAATTTGACGGAATATTTTGCGGTAATGACGTTTCAGTGACGTCATATTACGCCATTTTCGCTTCAAAAACAGCAAAACTTCAAACTCCTCTAACATCATCAGTTACAATGCAATTACGAAGTAACAAAAAACATGTAAGTGGTTCTACTTTATCTTTAAAATGGCTACCTCGTTTTTTTAATGTTAGATTTGACCCCTTTGCTTTTTTAATTTTTTTGGAGACAAAATATTAAAAACTCAAAATTTTGAGCATATCGAAAAACTTAATAAAGTTATGTTTAAGAAGCCATATCTGTGCACCTGATTTCTAATTTTTAGAAGAATCGGTTCAAAAATGAGGGAGTTATTCAAACTTTTATAACGTCACGACACACAAAATTTCAAAAAAAAATTGAGTGTTTGACCTCATACAAGAACAATAATAGCACCATTCGATTTGTCGTGAAAAACGCATCAGATAAACACTTTTTGGGTTTTATAACAGTCGACTGCAAAATTTGACCTTAGTTGGCCTGACTTTGACCTGACCTCGACCTGAAACTCATCCAAATGTGTTCGATATCTCTAATGGATTATGGAGTGTGCCTATTGAGTTCTGTGAGTAAAATGACCCATAAAACATGTGTCGAACATGCCCTGTTCTATATTTCGTTTTTGGCGATCCGAACTGACCTTGCCCTTGACCTTTGCATGACATTTTATGCAACGAATGTTGTCTTGGTAGCCCAAGTACATGTTTTGGATAATCAATCTCAGTCTATTTGTCGCCAGCTGCGGTCCAAAGCCGATAATGTAGAAACTTGCATTTTGACATTTTGACCTGACCTTGACCTGTCCTCTGACCTATTAAGGCAAAAATATGTTTGCCCCAAAGATCCGTATTGTTTAGAGCTTTCGATTGCCGCATTTCCCGTTTTACTACGACCGGAAGTAAGACAAGAAGTTTGGAAGTTAGACAGGGTGGGGACAGAATTTGCCCCTCCCCAGCGCGGCGGGGCGCGTATGGCTGAATAGCCCAGCCGGGCGCGGGGTATGGAAGCGGCGGCGGCCAGCGCTGGCTGGAAACATCTTTTTTTTATTTCCAGCGATAATATTTGTAGGGGAGCGAAGTCGTATTGCGCCCTGTTCTTAAATGCGCCACACCTTCGTCCTGCCCAAAGCACGATTCGAACGAATACTCGAATGTGTGCATTTACTTCACCACCAATAACTCGCTCTTTTTCCAGTCCAGGGGCGTAGCCAGGATTTCCTCCAGGAGGGGGCCAAACTTACGGGGGCCCAAGGTAAACCCCCTCAAAATCCAAAAAGTCATCGGATTTCATCCACTATTATTTGGAGGGGGCCCAAATAATTTTTTAAAAGAAATATTTAACAAATGAAAAAATGTTAGAACTGAGTTGCAAGCAAAGCAGTCCATGGGTCCCTGCTAGATAGGCCCACGAATAGCTTCATAGAGTCGCTCAGCCGGTTCTGAAGGCGGTCTTGAGGGCCCCGTAGGTTGGATGAGGGTCCTTCAGACCGCCAAAGGCCCCTACAGCCCATGACAGCCTTGTAAGCCGTCTGAGGGTCATGTAAGCCGTTTAAGGGCAGGGGCGTAGCCAGGATTTTCTTCAGGGGGAGGGGGGCAATCAAACCGAAAGGGGCCCATGTGAGCGAAGGGGTCCAACGTTTTCATTTCATGACGTAGTTATTTGCTTAACTACCTTAAAATTACGAAGGGCCCCTGCGAATCCAATGGAGAGCAGTGGCAAAGCCTCAGGCCCGAAGGGCCCTTTCATAACCAATGAAGAGAGCCCAGAGGGCCCTAGCGGCAAGGTCTCAGGCCCGAAAGGCCCCGCGAACCCAGTGGAGTGCCCTGAGGGGCCCTTACGCTACTTTTATTGTGCCCCTTACCGTACTTATGACACCGCGATGGGGCCCTTTTGGGCTCCAGGGGGGCCATGGCCCCTATGCCCCCCCCCCCCTTGGCTACGCCCCTGTTCCAGTCCACGGGGACAGGTGAGGTGTCTCAGCTTTCTCGCAGACCATTTTTGGTGATTTTCTCTATTTTCTTACGCGAAACAGTCTATTTCGACCTTTGCTAATGTCATGGTTTATCTTTGAGATAGTGATTCAACTAATTATCATTGTTAATTGTTCGTTTAATGGCAATTTTGAAAGCTTATTACCACTGTGGCTTCGCTGTCGCCGCCATATTTCCAGCTCATTAAAAAATGTGTTCCATTCCTTATTGCGCCCTATTCTTCAACATAGAGAAACAGCATCTGGTGGTTAGGAGACATTTCATTGAACACTTTGATCATTAGAGCGCTCACGACATCCTTTGAGGGCTCCCACGTTGGCTCCACGGGCCGCGCTGGCATCTGAGGTCCCCACAATGGGCTCGAGGGCCCTCAAGCATCATGAAGACCTATAAGGGCCCCACCCCACAGTGGTCTCCGAACGCCACCACGGAGGCTTGTTTGGCCGCGCTGGACTATGATGGCCCTAACGACGACCTCTGAAGCCCCTTACGACTACTTTTGAGGGCCCTTACGATGACGTTTGGTGTCTACTGCAGGCTCGAAGGGACTACTGATTCGTTCAGGCGATTCACGTGCCCATTTATGTCACTTATAGTGCAGGGGGCATCTTCCCCAACGTTAGGGGGCATCTTTCCCACCTTGTGGGGTAAGATGCCCCCTTTCACCTCTTCAGGAAAATGCTTAATAGCAAAAAAACGTTATCATATTTCAGGCACGAAAGTGTGATATTTTTGGAGAAAAATGATGTCGGCTTCCGTTGAAACTCCAAGTTTTTGCTTTCCGATTGTCCTTTTCGAATAATATATGACATAGTAAAACCCTGGGCATCTTTCCCCACTCTCCCCTAACCTGGCCTGTGACCTGACCTGGTATTATCAGTGACCTATATTGACGCCCTATCGCTGGACCTATAGGTACTGACGCCATGTCGCTGATATTCGATGAAATGCGTTTTGATCGATGTTAAAGCGCATTCCCTAGAAGACCCGTGAAAGGCAAAACCTTTTGTCTTTGACCTGGCCTGTGACGTCATCGGTGACCCCGAGATCATTGAAATTGAATTTCCGTAGACAAATTTGACAGGGCTTTCGAACGCCGCTTGAATTTTGCGTATCCGTCCAATTGTTTCGGAAATACGAGGGGGGGGGGCAAAATTAGCCCTCTCCCCACCAAGTCGCGTTATAAACAGACCTCACCAGGGCGCGGGTTAACAGTTTATACGGTATACCTATGAAGCAACTTAGTGATCGTCTGCCTAAAGAAATATTTCAGAAGTGATGTAAACATTCTGCCAGATGCGTCTCCACCCACGCGGGTCCCACCCACACCCCAGTCGCCGAGTTTGTATATGTGTGCTGTATGTGTATATACGGCCCGAGCTGGCGGCGAGTCTGGGCAGTCCGCCTCCGCCGGCCGCACGATGAGGACACACCTGCTGCTGCTGACCGGCCTGCTGGCCGCCGCTGGCGCCGTGTCGCCCCCCTACCGGCCGCCGCCTCTAGGGCCGGATCCGCCGCGGCCGATCTGGCCGGTGCGCCCTCCGGGTCCAGCGCGCCCCCCGGGTCCGTCCGTGGACCCGACGCGGCCCCCCGCACCTCGACCACCAGGTGACTGTTGGCGCCGCGCAACGCTCTGGCCTCTGCCAAAGACCAGTAACGTGGGCCCTCTATAATGTGCCTATGCATATTGAGCTTCACAGCGGCATGTTCGTCAGCCAGGTATAGCGATGTTAAGCAGTCATCTCAAACAAATGTATGCCTGTTGCCTACCCATGATAATAGCAACAGACCTCAATTTTTTCATTTTTTTTCAATTTCATTTCAATTTTCGTGACGTTTAACAACATTGCACTGATGAAAATTAAATGAACCGGTTTAGGTTCACGTTTTACAGGCGCTATTAGTGCACATGCATGCAGCAGCCAGAATCGGTTTCTCTCTCGCAGGTGGTGAGGAGCCGGGCTGCACTCCCGGCACCTGGACCTACGACGGCTGCAACGCCTGCCGATGCACCCAAGAACGTAAAATAAAGTGCACCAGCAACGTCTGCAGGGAACCGCCCGCAGGTCAGTTCGAAGGGACGCTTATAAGATAACTTACATATGTCCTATAACTGGCGCTGTCTTAAGTGAACTCCCGTAACGCTGTCGGCATCGTGTGCTTCACAACTCCGTGTTGGCTGTTTATCGGCGAGCCGGAGCCGGAGCCGGACCATTTTACTCGGAGCCGGAGCCGGAGCCGGAGCCGATTTTTTCTCCGGATCCGGAGCGGGAGCCGGATCCGGCTGAAATTTCCACGGCTCCGCATCCCTGGAAACCTGGGTCTGGAATTTTAATCACACGTGCGGGAAAGATGCATGAACAGGTGTGCTAAAAACGGCGGGACTCCACGCCTCCGTTTTTGACATATCTGCGAAAACTGCATGGGGCTCTTCAAACACCCTATCCCTCGGCCCGGCACGGGTTGAAGACCAATTAGTCAAGTCATTATCAGGAAACAAGGACGCTTTTATACAGGTGCCATTAACCCCCGGCAGGCGGTGGGCCTCCCGGCCACCTTCCGCGCGGTGGGGAGGGGCATTTTTTTGCCCCCCCCCCGTATCTCCGAAACTACTGGACGGATCCAAAAAATTTAAACGGCGTTCGATAGTCCTGTCAAATTTGTCGAAGGAAGCCAAATTTTGTTGACCTCGGAGTCACCGATGACGTCACAGGTCAGGTCAAAGATAAAATGTTTCACCGTTCACGGGGCTTCTAGGGAAAGCGCTATAACACCGAGTAAAACGCATTTTGTCGAAAATCAGCGATAGGGCGTCATTTTTCTAGTACATATAATGTTGCTATTAGAGGTCACTGGTCATACCAGGTCAGGTCACAGGTCAGGTCACCAAAGGTCACCAAGGGTCACCACATGAACCCAACTTTACTAAGGTTGTGCGATGCATGTTTTATGGCCAGTTTTTCATTTCCAACTCAATGGTGTTGGTTATAAGACCATCAGGTAGGTACGGTTTAGGTCACTATCTGGTGGAGGTCAGGTTAAGGTCAGGTCAAAAAAGGTCAAATTTCAAAGTTGATATTTTTGCATAAAATGGGTATTGATTCGATGCAGCTCTTCACGGGGAGTCTAATCGTGGTCTTTGTTTTGCGCTACGAGGTCTAAAATTGCTAAAAATTGAGTTTGAAAATTTGACGTCATCAATTTTGAACAGTTTTTTCGCTATAACTTGGCCAAAAAAGAGGTGTCGATCTCAAATTTGGTATGTAGATAGAAGGCGGTAGGGACTATCACATATCTTCCGTTTTCTTTCGAAATTCAAAAACTTTTTGGATTTTTTGGCTATTAGGTATAGGATTCAAAAAAAAATTATTTTTTGATTTTTGTATCTCTAAAGCTGTAGGCCTAACAGCTCTTCTCGCGAAACCTTTTTTGGGTCGAAAATGGCAGAAATGACGTCACTCTGACGTCATTAGCGTCCAACCTATCATAGCCTTTGGGGAAAAAATTGGTCACAATGTGCAATAGCTGTTCACAGGAGGGTACTGAAAGTTTGGTGACGATCGGCGCAGCAGTTCTCGAGATATATCGAAAAAAAAACTAAAGGGGGGGGGGCAAAAAAATGTCCCCCCCCCCCCCCCCCCCACCGCCTGGAAGGTTAAAGCGTATATGTCCCCATTCAGACAATGCGTTATACGTTGATATCTCAGCTGAATACCAATGAGTCTGGTGTCATTTTGAGACGGTTGCAATCTTTGAAGACACTATAGCAAAGGGAATTTCTCATAAACAGCAGCACCGCGTGGGTGGATTTTCCATAAATATTTAGTTGCCGCGACTGTGGGCAGCGAGGAACGCCAGACCTCAACATTAGTCTGTCGCTAACCGCTTTAGTGTAGCATTATCAACATGCATACAGTCTCGTGCGTTGCAATGCTGTATACAATGTACACTGCACCCTACCATTGGGATTCGGACACTATAAACCGTCTCGGATTGCAGATAGCGTGTTTACGTAAATTGTGCTTTGGGGGAGCATGGTTAACACTCGCATGCCGAGTAGGGAGAGGGGGGGGGGCGGGTGCCGCCCCGTTAGGTTTTTTCGCGATAGCTTAGAACACGCTGGGATGAAGAGCTGAAATTTAGCATACTCTCGTACCTTTGATTCAACCCGGATCTTTTGCCATCAACCGCATTTCATTCAAGGTCAGGTTAGGTCACTGATCTATGACGTCATAAGTAAACCTCTGCACGGTCCTAAAATGTTACAACTTCTCAATGCGCTTAGTGCCAGAGGAGTTTTCAAAGGGACATGAAACTTATGTAGTTGAACGGGCTGTGATCGTCTGTTTCAGCCTCCTGCCAGTACGGGCGCACCTACCTGGACCAGTGCGATAACGTCTGTTTCTGTGACAAGTTTGGCGCGTACCAGTGCCGGCCGCGCGACATTCCCGGCGGAGGGATCTGCTACCACGACGGCGTCAATGGAAAGCCCACGCGCTGCCAGCAGGAGGGCCTCATCCGAGTCGAGGCGCACACACACTTCTTCTGCCAGGACGGCATAGTGCACTTCGAATACGGTTAGAACCCTAAAACGAGCTGTTCGTTATGTGCAATGTAACCAGAAAGTAGTTGTTCGGGAAATGCACATTTAGTTATGGTGCAGCCATGGTTCAGTGTTGTTTTTGTTCAGTTTCTAACGGCCGTGCTGTGTTGCCAGTGGAGGACGACGGCTTCCGCTGCCAGGAGGGCGCCTCCTGGCGGGAGGAGTGTAACACGTGCTCCTGTATGGGCGGACCGGCGGGGGCGTCCGGCGGCGCCTGTACGCTGATCGGATGCCTCTCCAACGCGCCACGTGAGTACCGCATTTCAGCAACCACCGTATTCGAATGGGTATGGCGGCCGCCTACTCGTATTGGGTCCGTGGGACGCCTACCCGTATGGGTCTGAGCTCTATGTGGCCATCTTACCTATACAGTGGAACTCTTTAGGCGCGTAAACAGTCCACCGTTGCTGCTATCGAAAACAAAAACTAGCAGTCATAAACGTTCAAACCTTCCTAGTTTTTTTTTTTAATCCCGAGAATGATTTCATCGGATGCCTCTTAGTAACCTATGGATAAACTGTATTCCTAGCAATCATCAGTGTAGGTAGGTATTACAGATGCCGAAATGATTGCTAAATAGTGAAAACTATAACACTTGTTCAACATGGGCAACTAAATTATATAGTATTTAGTCGCATTGAATTCGCGAATTATATAACGGTTTCTAACTAGTAACTACTGTGCGTGTGCTCGTTAGAAGTTCCCTGGTCGTCCGCTTGATCCAACGCACCCCAAATCATCGTTGACATCCATTGCAGTATGGCAGCAATAACAGCAAGAATAGCAAGAAATCGGCGACACTGCGGAGAAACAAGCAGTGAATAGCGAGACCGAACGGCATCGGGCTATTTCAATAGAAAAACACAATTCTAACGAATAGTGTTTGTCCATTTCAAACAACCTGCTGCATGGCGACGTACAGTAGGTCTACAAAATAAGTCCTCTCCGTATGTACTATGTGAGTCACCAGCGGGCAGTTAGCGCCTGAGCGCTACTCAGGCGCCACCTGCCCGGATACAGAGAGGACTTATTTTGTAGACCTACTGTACAGCTCGTCGCTGAGCTGAGGCCGAAGCCGGAACATGCTTTCATTTACCGACGAACAACGAGTACTTATTTGCTGACTTTCGTCCAGAACTATTTAGCGAGTAATCTTCGAAGTACTATTTCGCACTTTTTTCAAGAGTGCGCATGGAAGTAGGTACGGCTAGTATAGGTCAGCATGAGTTGAACCCGAGGATATACATTTCAGTCAACATTTCATTTAATCAATTAACCCTCGCCGGTTGATAGAGGGGTTTTGTGCGTTTCCACACCAGGGGTGTTTAATATGCGAGTGCTGAAGGTGTGGGACAATCTGCTTGGTGACCTTGCTGATAGCTTCTCTTGAAACTCTTATTTCACTTGTCCTATCTACTGGCTTTGCTAAACCAAGCCTAATCCGACCCAGCTCGTCCGCCCAAGTGCTGTCCAATCCAATCTATCTCAAACGAATAGATCCTCGTCTGCCTAGTAGTTGTTGTTGTTCTCCTCGGGTCGGCTCACGGCCGACCGTAGCCCAGCGGCTCTCGGTGAATGGGTTAGCCGCGGCCCAAGGCCGCCACGGCCCGGCCGTCCCGAAGCTGTGTAGGGTCCGGTCTGATGTTGCCGAAAAGGCGGAGTCTCGCGCCACTGCCAGGCATGGGCACCTTAGCAGCACGTGCTCCGGCGTGTCCGGGCCCTCGCGGCACACCAGGCAGAGCGCCGCTGGGTGGGCCAGGTCGCTGCACTGTGGGCAGTCGCGCTCGGGGCGGCGTCCGATCCTATGCAGGTAGCTCTGCGAGCGGCTCCAGTGTCCCTTCCCGCCCGCAGCTGGTGGACGGTAACCGCCTCGTCACGAGACTCCAGGAGCTCCAGCATCGGCATATGATCTCCCATAATCCTCTTGAAAAGGCCATCTGGCCAGCTGAGACGCCATGCCTTGGTGGCGGAGCGGCCGGCGGGATGGTGGCGTGCAGATGCTCCTCCATAAGTACATCTCGCACACCCGCGCTCGCCAGAGCGCGCGCCCCGTGTCGCGCCAGCCGGTGGTGGTGCGGAGCCGCCGTGGGGCCGTTGCTTCGGCCACCGCGCGCAGTGGGTCGCCGCTTCTTTGTGAGGCTGCCAGCCAGCACAGTCTAGCAGCGAACAGGTCCCGGCATGCTCTCACGGGGACCACACCGGCTTCCGCGAGAAGCGGATCTCTCGGCGTGCTCACGGGGCACCCGGTGAGAACGCGGGCTGCCGCCCACATCTCCACTTCCAGTTGCTCCACGTGGGACTCGGACGCCGCAGGGAGCCATGCAACCGCTGCGTATTCAAGGGCACCGCGAACGTAGCCGTTGGCTTCTACTCGTAGCTGCGGCTCCCGCAGGTTCCAGGAGTGCCCGGTCATCTTGCGGAGCTGTGCGATCCTCGGTTTGGTCTTCTTTCGGACGCGCGCGCAGTGTTCTCCCGTGTGGAGCTGTCGGTCCAGGGCCACGCCGAGAAGGTGCAGGTGTCTCCCAGCGTCCACTCGCGCCCCGTCTACATGGGTGTGTAAGTCCTGGGCGTCGATGTAGTGCTGTTACAGAGCTAAAACTTGCGTTTTGCTACTTTCCACCCGCATTTTCCAGTCGCGGGCCCACTTCGCTATGGTGTCCGCCGCTTGTTGGACCCGGTATCTGGGTCCCGCTATCGCACCGCCGGAACACAGTGCTGCAGTGTCATCGGCGTACAGAATGACAGAGCTGCACGAGATCCGCTTCAGCGCCGCTTCAAGGTCCGCCGACCGCAGCGTGAACAGGGTCGGTGCGAGGAAGGATCCCTGCGGCAGGCCAGCTCGGAATGAACGGTTTCGGCGCCGTGCACCGTTGACCTCCGCGCAGGCGCGTCGGTCTCGGAGGAAGTGGTGAATCCGCGTAACAAACAAGGCACCGTGGAAGGTGGTAACTGGCAAGACATCTACAGTCGCAGCATTTGATGGTCGATTACGTCATAGGCACGGGAGAAGTCGTAGGCTGTCACCAGCTCCGGGTCGAGCGCCTACGGCTCGGGGTCTGCACGGGCACCCCGAGGAACGCACCGCACGCTCGCCTCGATGATCGCATCGTTGAAAGCGCGGCGAGGTCTCTCCCAGCTTCAGGTTGGTCATCGTCTCCTCGCAGCATGCCGTGAAAACCGTCCAGTCGGCTTTATGGATGGCCCAGCGCGTCTTCCTGATGCGACGGGGGCGGTGTCTCCTGGTGGTGACTGCGACCAGCTGCGGAAAGTGGTCGCTTCCCAGGTCGGCACTGACCTGGGAAAGTCTGTCAAGTCGACTTGAGGGCCGACCCGACCTGGCCTAATCCATCCGATTCGAGCTGACCTGATATAGGTACGAGCTAGAGCTACTTGCCCCGGCCCACCATACCAGCCCCCTGCTCTGCGCTGTGGCCTGACCAGTGCCCCTCCCGCCGCAGCACCGCCACGGCCGCCACGGCCGGCGCCGCTCGAGTTCGGAGACGTGGTGTTGCCCGACTACGAGCCGTGTCCCGCCGGCTTCATCGCCGCCCCCGGCATGCTCGGCGTCAAGATCTGCAAGGCTGCCGGTGAGCTGAGGGAAGGGTGTGGCACGCGCTGGGGGATAGGACAGAAAGTAGGTAAAAAAGGATCAGAAACTAGGGCAACGAGGGGAGATCGCGCCTTTCAGTGGGTGATATAGGATGTTAGAGAAATATTTCTTTCCGAAAGGAACATATTTTGGCCAGAACATTAAATCTCTTGACTATACATAGATAAAGGCTGCTACCTTTTAAGCTATGAAGACCTAAGTCCATAGCGTATTTCGCTGCGCCATACCATAGCTATGGTATGCATAGGTATTGGTGATAACAATGAGGACATTGTATGTGCTTGTTTCATGGGGATCCGTGTCTCGCTGTAATACCACTTGACTCCACCATTAAGAGATACGAAATGGCGACCGGAGCCACGTAATCATCAGTCTGTCTTCCCGGTCTGACCAACAGTCTAACCCATTAGTCTGACCGTCAACCTTTGGTCCCGCCCGTCTGACCTGACCGTCAGGCTGCACCCCTGGTGTCGAGTGGAACCTCAGCTCGTGCGAAAAGTGCGTGTGTACTCGGACCGGCGAGCCTGCCTGCACGCCATGCATCAGAACGCAGAGTGGTGAGATTTCCGTGTATTTTATCGATTTGTCAATGCACTTTATCATAATGTTTTAGTAATTTTTTATTTTATTTTGCTCAACAACCCTCTTTCTTGTTGGCCTTGAATTGTTGTCATCGCCATATTTCTTAGCGTCAACGAAATAGATTTGCTCAGTGAACTCGCTGCCGCGCCCCCGAGTGTCCCCTGGCCGTTCAGCGTTGGTCTGTCCGCGGCGGCCGCAGACTCGACTGTGGTGTGCGGCGAGCGGCGGCCCGTGCTTGGCCTTCCCGTCTACCAGATCTGCCCGGCCGACTGCGGCCAGCGGTACGACCCCCGGCGCGACTGCATCCAGTGTCGGTGCGGTGTCGGCAAGCCGGGAGACGTCAACGTCGGTTTCGACGAGCCATGTCCGCCTGGCTTCGGCCACCGGTCCAGCGGCGCCTTCTTCCGCGCGTGCGGCCCCATCGACGACCTACGTGAGTCCACGGTGGATGCGAACTTGCACGTAGACGAAATTTCAGGTCTTACCTAAGGTATACTTCGGTGACAGAAACGTTTTTATTTTACCGTCTTGCTTCTGTCCTGCAAGGCTCTTTTTCGTCTGATATCCATCCGCTCTGATGCCATCGCCTTGAGCCAGGTTCCCATTTTCACCCTCAGGGACCTATACTTCATTAATCATTTCTGACGAAAAGCCATTGGAATGTGACAACTGGGATAATGATCTGTGGCGTAACGCTAACATAACTAACGTCAGACGTTTACCCTGAGTATATTGGTGATAGGAGCAGGCCGGTGTTCGGATTTATCCACTGACGCCTCTGCTTTCCGCCACCGACGTGATTTATGAACGGCGAGTCTTCTATCGGCAGCCACTGGCGACTTCGAGGACTGCAGTCCGGGCAGCGACTGCCCGGCGCACTGCGAGTTCGTGCGCCGGTCGCAGAACGGCTGCATCCAATGCCTGTGTGAGGGGCGCGAGCTGGTGCCCGTCGCCAACCCGTGCCCGCCGCCCAAAGTGGAAGGCATCGTCCGCGACGGCAACAAGATCTGCAAGCCGGCCACCCGAGAAGGTAGGAGGAGAGACTGGTAGTCTGCGGTACCCGGGAAGGTAGGCACTAGGCCGAGAGCCTGGCAGTCTGCGACAACCAAGAAGGTAAGCTGAGTGATTGTGTCATGGTGAGATGAGCCCTGAAACCCTATCAAATGACTACATACAGCCTGTCCCATAGCTCAGTTGGTAGAGCGTTAGACTCGCGGTATTGAGAGCCAGGGTTCGAGTCGCTCCGGCGCTCGATATTTGAGACTCTTCTCCTTCTCTCTTCTTGCACGCCACGCAGGGTCCGCAGGGACCCCTAAAGCCCTTGTTACACTGCCGAATTTTGGTACACGAATGTGAACGAATATGCAAGTCATCCTATGTCGTGGACCGATTCGGGATCTTTCTTCCACGGTCTTGGCATTTCGCAGACCAGTCGGTGTCCACCGCGCGACTTTTACGGTTCGTCACGACCGCCACGAATATTTCATGAAAAATGAAAATTTCGTGGCCGTTCGCCGAATTTATAATAAACGAACATGATCGCCACACAGTCCCGGAGTCGCCGCCGACATGTCGCTGCGTGCGTCGACTTGTTGCCAAGGTATCGCCGACTATTCGCAACAGATTCGCCATTCATTCGCGATATTCGCCGAATCATGGATCAGCTTCGACCCGCGCACGATTAGGGGGGCCCCCACCCGTTTTCTGCAAATCGGGCTCTGTCGGCGAACTGTTCGTCTCTGTCGGTAAACTGTTCGCCGATTTCCTACACGACGTGATTCGGCGACAGGGTCGTGGCCAAAATTCGGCAGTGTAACACGGCCTTAAGAGGTCCGCTGCGGGAGCGCGTCGACTGGGGGTCGGTGCGCCCCACTCTGCGGAGGAACTCGATGATTTTGTTGGCCGACTCCAGGGAGATTTCTTGAAGTGATGGGGTGAAACCTCAGAGCCGGCCTCGGGTGCGGGTGTAAGCGGGACAGTCTGCCAGCAAGTGCTGCACGCTGTCCGGCTCGGCACAGGCGGGGCAACGGTCGTGTTCCGCCAGCCCCATCCTCATCAGCGCGTCCCGGGTCAGCGGTTACAACCCAGTGGGCAGCTTAGATATCGTGACCGACTCCCAGCGCGTCAGCTCATCGTTTCCCGGGGTGGCAGCCGGGAACGGGTGGGCGTCGCGGACACGGGCGCGCACCACATCCACGGCGTGGCGCAGTCTCTGCTCCTGTTGATGGTGGTGGTGCCGTTCCGGTAGGTGCTGCCGGTGTAGGCGTCAGGGTCGTTCCGGTAGGTGCTGCTGGTGTAGGCGTCAGGGTCGTTCCGGTAGGTGCTGCCGGTGTAGGCGTCAGGGTCGTTCCGGTAGGTGCTGCCGGTGTAGGCGTCAGGGTCGTTCCGGTAGGAGTCGCTGTCAGTGTAGGCGTCGGAGTCGGTGGTGTGGCGTTGGCTGCTGTTCGCCGGGGACGTGCTGTGTTACTGGCCTGCTCCGCTGATTGGGACGGACGGCTTTCACATTCTTTGCACGTCCATACGGCGTTTGCCTTTGCCATCTCTATCAGTTATGTGGCCGTCACTTCAGCGCACCTCCATCTCTGGCAGTCACGGCAGGGCACCGATCCAGCGCCGACGTTCCGGCGGCCGCACACTCCGCATGGATGGCGGGGCTCGGGGTTGGTCTCGGTGTCGCCAGCTCTCAGCAGTAGCGAAGCGTGGTGAGCCGGCTTCCCGCGCCTCGCCCCCGAAAACCGCTGTTGTGGTTGAGTTCCCCGCTCAGTACGTTTTGGCCGAGGCACTTGGCTCCCCGGTTGCGGGGACGCCATTCCCACGGGAGGGGGCCTCGATGATGGCAATATTTGAGACTCCTGACGGGGATGGTCTGCGGTTGGTGATAGCAGCTGCAGCCAATTGAAGTAAGTTGAGTGGGACAGGCCGTATCCGGCTCTGATGGCACATTAAATTTTGGGATCTAAATTCTCCCGTTACCCGGCATTGCGCAATCGAATGGTAGGAGTCCGGTTCCAAGCAGCCAGCTCTGCTTAGCGTCGGCTCCGGCTCTGTTAATCGCTCCATTTAAGAATTCGAGCTAGATTTATTTAAAAATGGATTCATCATTTTACCTAAATATGCCAGCCATCACTATTACAAGTATCGTGATTATAACCTCAGTTTATCGTCAAAACAATGCGAGGCTTTTCGTGGTTTATATCTAGCTATGAAACAATGATTGTCTGACAGCCAACTTCGACGGACGTTTGCCGCACCGCTTGGTTTAACCGTTCACCACACTCGCTTGTCTGCCTTCCACAGAGTGCAGCGGCCCCGGCACCGAATACCAGGTGGGCTGTGACCTCTGTATCTGCCAGGAGGGCGGTGTGCCCGCCTGCACCCACAGACAGTGCGACACGAGCCCAGGTGAGGCCACTCAGGCCAAGACATCCTGGTCGGGAATGGTGGCATTGGGCCTTGGGGTGATCGTCGACCTGCCTGACTTCGGAGTCCCCGCGCTGTCAGACAATTGTGGGGAAACAGGCTGAATGAATCACGAATCACACCAGAGGAGAGGTTTACCGTTTGTCCAGTTCCACCCAGAGATGATAGTCGTGTCATTTGTAACCTTGATGTGACCTGTGACCCTCCCCCCACCCCCAGAGGAGCAGTCCTGCCAGTACGGGCCCGTCATTGTAGACGAGTGTAACACGGTGTGCCGCTGTGTCCGCGGCGGTGGACGGTACGCCTGCGGCCGGCGCGGCTGTCCGCCGGGTCGCACCTCGGGAAAGCCGCTCACCTGTCCGGCCCGTCTCCGTGAACTGCCCAGGATCCGCGGACTGCGCGTCTTCTGTCACGAGGGCATCGTCAAGGCTCAGCCAAAGGGTGAGATGAAGCAATGACAGGGTTCCAGAAAGCTTTAAAGCTTGGGCATGGGGTGCTAAACCAGCTTTTTGTCAAACAGTGATTTTGAACCAGGCCGCGTGGCCACCAAACTTCTTGAAGCAATCACGTCACAAGAAGGTCAAAAAAGGTCAAATTGTACTCAGTTTACATTAAAAAGATATTTGCTTTTGTAAAAGTGGCTTTCATTACGTAAAAGATAGTTTTTAGTCATGGAGAGGTGATTATGTATCATACATATTACCCTAGACTGATTTTATGTACAAATACTGAAAAAACTGTGACGTCATATGAAAAATCGCTAATTTTGTAGTCATTTAAACGGCTATACCTATTTCTGACAGTTTTAGATATGTTGTTGATTTTTGGTATGTGTGAGACTAGTAACAGGTTCTCTGACATATAACCAGTTTTATAATTTCGCCAAATTTACACCTAAAATATCTCAAGAACTCTAAATTTTTAGTTAGAAAATCACTAGATATAGAGATTTTATATTTTGGGAAATTACGAGAAAGTCATTTTGTTTTATACGTTTTTTTTTAACCAAAGGTGCAATGTTAACTCCAGGTTGAAAGTCTGATTTTTTGCGATTTTCCTCCATGAACAACTTTTTCGACGAAAAATGGCCAGTTTGACCTCTATAACTCGTGACCTGAGATGACCTGAGACCTATTTTTTTCTACGAGATGTGTAGAATTGATGTCCGGAGTGGTACGAGTACTATTGTACTCGATCATTCGTCGCTCCAAAAGTGTTTTAATGGTATATTCAAGGCCGTACATTAAGGATATATCATATGTACTGCCTTATGCTGGTATATCTAGCTATTTATTTTTTATAGAGAGAGAGAGAGAGAGAGAGAGAGAGAGAGAGAGAGAGAGAGAGAGAGAGAGAGAGAGAGAGAGAGAGAGAGAGAGCGAGAGAGAGAGAGAGAGAGAGAGAGAGAGAGAGAGAGAGAGAGCGAGAGAGCGAGAGAGAGGGAGCGAGAGAGAGAGAGAGAGAGAGAGAGAGAGAGAGAGAGAGAGAGAGAGAGAGAGAGAGAGAGAGAGAGAGAGAGAGAGAGCGAGAGAGCGAGAGAGCGAGAGAGAGAGAGAGAGAGAGAGAGAGAGAGAGAGAGAGAGAGAGAGAGAGCCGTTATCGGTGAGGTGTTCCTCAACAATAGTGAGCTCTGCATACCGTAAGCAAAACATCCAGCTGGGCTTCTGCATGGGTCGCGGGCGCGGTTTATACATCTACGAGCATGTAGACAGTCAATAGCCGGGCGTCTTTTCTGAGCGCAGTCGGCCCAGTCGTTCTCGATATACAGAAGCAGCTTCTGCTACTACAACCGTGACACATGAAAAGCCATTCCCGTTGGGTGTCGCCTAGACCAAGTTTCAGCGCAACTTGGTCTCCCATCTGGTACGTTTCGCGACGGTTGAATTTTGGTGATTGAATTTTATCAATATCTCCATATGCCCTAGATGTTGATGTTATTTTACCATCGGCCTATGAATTTGGTGAAGCGTTATTTGCCGTGAGACTCATTTTACTTCCTATTGGGTAAGGCGTTCCAACGGGAAGAGTTAGAGGTTGGTAGGTACTTTTTATGTTCAGTAAGTCGATATAAGATTTATTTGTGATTTTCTACCAGAAGCAGCGTGTTATTTCTAAAAGAAGGTAAGTTTGTCGGGTGGCTGAATGTTTTTATTCGCGAACGTCTGCGGTATGCGTTGGTTGCTTTGCTTGACATAAAATGTAACAATATCGGTACGTAGGTACTAACTGAGCTTCCTCCGAAATCGCCCATGAAATCCAGGTCTAGCAGCTGGATGGGTGCTTCTGTATTCTGCCGAGCTCTGAGGGTGGGCTTAACAGCTACGGTTCTGGATTTTGGTGATTGAATTTTATCAATATCTCCATATGCCCTAGACTAACTAATAATTTACCTACCTACCTTTTCTGCTCGAAATTATCAATTATGGGAGGAGATTGATAAACTCAGCTGAGCCTTTTCTGTTATTGCAGACGAGCGATGTATTGAGGGATCGCGATTCCTGGACGACGAGTATTGTAACTCGTGCAGCTGCAGGGGCGGCGGTGCAATGTGCACCAAGTTAGGGTGCATCACACCCATACCTGGACCGTCATGTAAGTAAACCTGCCGGGCTGGCCGCCGCGGTGACAGACGTTAATCTTTCCACGTATGTACAGTATTTAGGTACATATATTTAGCAAATACAAAAATATTTGCTATAATGAAATGAATTTAGTACATATATTTAGCAAATATAAAAAGCCCATCAGCCGGACAGCCGGACACCTTAACCGGTGCCATAAAAAGCTGGTTTGTGAGATAGAAGTGATAATTTTAAGCTTTAAAGTAGGTAGGTACGTACTTCATGTAAGTAGAAGGCGTGTGGCCCCAATTACCTCCATGATCCGCATTAACTTATTTTACTAGATATATCTGAATTAAGTGGCGAATGACATGAAAAATGGTTAGACAATAGACATAACATGACATTTCTTCCGCAAAAAAAAAAAACATTCGTTGGGCTGGGACAAAATAAGTCGCAACTGTCGGAGAAAAAATGTTAGTTGGAGCTGATCACAGCCCTTCTCTCATGCTCCCCTCAGACGGCGACAAGGCGAACCGGCCCGGCCAGTGTCCGTGGATGGATGAGAACCCCGCCATCAGATGCATCCACTACAACAAACAGTGCGACGACGACCGGCTCTGCCCGCCCGGCCACAAGTGCTGCGGGGAGATCTGCGGCCAAAAATGCCGGCCGGCCTGCGCGCCGGCCTGCGCGCCCGGCCAGCGCTGCCAGCCGGTCGAGCCGCTCCTGGAGCGGGCCGAGTGTGTGCCGGTCAACTACTAGCGCCGCCGTCGTGCCGAGGCCGCGAGCTCGGGTCCCCGTGATCCAGTCAGCCGACCGCCGAAATCCCGGACTTTCACCGGACTGTCGTCTTTAGGTGGCGGAAAGGGCCGCTTCTTTGTTGGTATCCGCTTCGATGCGTCCAACCCCAAGATATCAACGCTGCTTACCAGGGATGCGGAGTCGGAGCCGGAGTCGGAGCCGGAGCCGCCGGAGCCGGCATATTTTGCCCGGAGCCGGAGCCGGAGCCGGAGCCGTGAAACAATATAGCCCGGAGCCGGAGCCGGAGCCGGAGCCGCCAAAAAAGGGGGCGACTCCGGCTCCTTTTTATTTTTTGAAGAGGAAAAAAATAATTGACCTGGTTCGGTTTGACAGTACAAGGCAGTAAAACATATGACGTACTATTGGTCTCAAGATAAGGGCCCAGGCGACCTGTAGTTTTGATGCGGTGAATACCCTCACCCTCCCCACAACTCGAGTGGGGGTGGCGCTGGCTGGGAGGAGGGGTGCACTCGGCCCGAGTTGTGGCGAGGGTAAGGGTATTTATTCACCGCATCAAAACTACAGGTCGCCTGGGCCCTTATCTTGAGACCAATAGTACGTCATGGGCAATCAAGTGAATGAAAAAAGCTGAATATCCCCAGTATCCCACAGTACGCAATCAACTTCCTGTCTGCTCCTCCCTCCCCAGTCCCCCCACGTCTACTGCATCCCCAGAACATGAGGACCGGTCATCAGGTGACGGCCATTGTTTTGAAGCCAGTGCAGTGGACTGCGACTCCCAGCACCGTCTCTTCCCCCCCCCCCCCCCCCAATGCAGCCGAGACGGGTGTCAGCTTACGATGGTTCAGTGAACTCCGATTCGCGGCGACTGCGTTTCCAATGCCATCGCTTCCTAGTCCTTTGTTCTGCCAGTTCTCTCCGAGGTGCGTTAGCGCTGGGACGCGGTGAGCCGGTCATGGCAAAGAGTAACGCGTATAACCAATCCAATTTTTCTTCCTCCCGTATTTAAAGGGACCCTCCCACCTTCAAAAAAGTTTATGAATTGGCATGAAAGTGATGTCGCTCGGTTCAGAAAGAGCGAAAACGAATATCTACCAAATTTCACCGAAAAATATTCACCGGTTTTCAAGATATTAGACTTCTACTTTTGTTTACTTTTTAGTATCTCCGCCGTTCCTAGCGACTTTATTTGGAAGCAATAGTTTGGCAGCTGAAAGTGCGGCACTTGTTGCGCGCAAAGCAGCATATACCACCGCGTGCTACAAAACGTTTTAGTCAAACATTTAAAAATCGTTAGATATCTGCGCTGACGTCACACATTCAGAGGGGCATTCCTATGCATTAGCCCCTCTGAATCAAAATGCTGCAATTTTGAAATTCAATATTTCCGATTTACGGCATTTCTCGATGTTGTGAGTGCCGAAACCGGTAATTGTGAGCCAGGGACCCCATTTTGGCTATCTCAACTCAAATATAATGTTAAGGTGGGAGGGTCCCTTTAATTGATTGCATAGGGGATGTACTGAGTCGGAGCCGGAGCCGCCGGAGCCGGACCATTTTACTCGGAGCCGGAGCCGGAGCCGGAGCCGCCATAACATTTCACCCGGAGCCGGAGCCAGAGCCGATTTTTTTCTCCGGACCTGGAGCCGGAGCTGGAGCCGTCTGAAATTTCCACGGCTCCGCATCCCTGCAGTGCTTACTGTTGATTTGAAGTACGGGATTCAAGCTAAATGTCATTGGGGCTACTCCATTGGACGGGACGAAGAGAGCAATGGTAAAATGAAACGCTGGGTGAATCTGCAATCTCGAAAATATATGCATCGACCATCGTTGTTGTCGTTTATGAACAAACGCCTGGAAGACGAGTTGCGGTGAATTAATGAAAGATTCAGCATCGATATCCAAGTCAATCTGACTCGATTGTTTTCTAGTTACGTAATACCTATTACGAAATATGGCGTATGCACCCTTCATTCGTGTGAAATTTAAATAACTCAAAGCAATTTATTTCATTCTAGATAACGCATTTAAAATGAACATGTGCCCAGTTTCACGTGTTTTAGCCCCGCCCATTGATGATATAGTGATCGTACGTAGCGAAAGTATCGTCCTGTCGACACACGACACACGACACACGAGTCACGATTCAAAGGCTTACGAGTTGTCGCTGCCGTTGCAGGAGACCGCTGCATTGAGAACTCAACGTTCATGGACGCGGACAACTGCAACACGTGCAGCTGCTTGGGAGGCGGCGCGGCCTGCACCCTGATGGCCTGCCTGACTGGACTCGACACCGCCGGGTACGTGTAGTGTATGCATGTCTACAATTGTGACGGTGTTTGTAAGAAATCGTATCACTACTAAATGCTCCATCAAATCTATACCTATGCCTTTTGTCGATTCATGTAAGTACCTATATGAGGGAAAAGGATTATGTAACAGTAATGAAAGGTAGGAACGTTTATAAAAATGTTGGTTAACACGGAGAGGAACGAGACGTTTAATGCCTCCGATGGATTAGGAGGCCTAAATCAGCTAGCCTGGCCTCCTCGCTACCAGGTGATCGGCGTCCATGTCTGCCCCCGCCCCCACCCACCGTCTCTTCACTGTTCAATGCGCCCATCATCTGACCGCAACCCTCGCTCCTGCCGACAGCAACAACGGCTACTGAATACTGGCGTCCGCACGGCGGGAGCAGCGGCGGGAACTGCGGCGGGAGTTGCGGCGGGAGTAGCGGCGGGAGTTGCGGCGGGAGTAGCTGCCCGCCGCCAGTCCGGCCGGGCCGCCGCCCGACGGCAACGGACGCCGATCGAGCGCCGCTCCTGACCGCCAGTGACGGCAACTGCAACTCTTCGCCTTCCACCGCCATTAAAGAACATTTCTGCTTGTGCTTGGAACGTGGTGCATATTTGCACATGGAATGTCTAAACAATGGTAGATGTGTAAATTTGAGCAATTTGTTGCATCGTATGATCATTGCCGTAGATAAAAATAGGTAAATAGTTACCAACGCTGTCTAGACGGGATACATTTTACGTTTGTCTTCTCACTACTGGTATGTAGTTGCAGCGTCTTCCGATTTTGTGAAAAATGCAGCGAATGGAATACACATAATCACTATGCAGCGAAACAGTATTTGAGAATGAGAAGAAATCAAGAAGTTGTGATGCCTGTCCTCAGATTTCCTCCGTGGAGGCCTCTGGGCTCCTACAAAACGAAAAGCAAGGACTTTTCTCCATCGAGAGTATTACTTTTTGATAGAATGAACTCATGCTTCCAATTATTGTTTTGCAGTCCTATAAAGTCGAGCCTTGAAGCGCGACAAAATAAGCGTAAACAAGTTTTGGAAACAGTTTGAAACGAGTCAGAGTGTGGATTTGACGAAGTCACTGAGGCCATTTTTAGCTCACCAAAGGTCGTCGAATGTCAGAGCTCGCCTCTTTCGACAATTTTCGTGAGGCCGGCGCATAACCTCTAACAGCGCTCTTTCTAAGTAATCCTCTCAGATTTGACCTATGGTCATTGGTTTAGCCTGCAGAGAATAAAAACTGCCGAAACGGACGCTTTCTGCGGAAACGGTTTTTCTGTAATAACTTTTGACTCAAAAGCTGCATGAGCCTACCCTAACCGGCATCGTGCTCCTCTAGTTGCAACGCATCGAATGAACTATATTTTGACCTTGAAAGGTCAACTTAAAATGTTACCTCAGGTCAAGGTCATGACCTGACCGGGAAAGGTCGTGTTGCATATCTTTGGATTCGTATCGTCGAGCTGAACACATCTAAGGCATTTTCATCGCTTTAGGAAGCCTGTATCAAAAGTTTTTAGTGAAAAAAACTGTTGGGAACTTTTCGCGACCTGTTATCCTCAGAGGGTCACGGTCACGAGTGCAATCATTCGATTCAATTCTTCATATTTAGGTACCTACTTGTAACCAGATGTTTGATAGTGTTATGTATGACGTTTAGTCAAAAGATGCGTATTTCAATTTGCTCCTATTGACTTAAGTCACAAAATTGACCTGACCTTAGGTCATCGATCTGAAAATTCCAAGGTGTAAATTCTATACACCCTGGTGCTCTTATCAATGGCTGAAACGTTGATATCGATCCGTTCCTCCGTGTAGGTATGGCAAGCATTGGAACCCTTGGCGATGGCGGTGATCCGCGCCGCCTTTTTGAGATGTTCGCGAAAAACCGCAAAGGGATGTTCATGTTCAAACAGCTCCACATGCAGGGCGCGGGTTAACAGCATTTAAAGTTTTGAAATTATTCGGTGCTCGTCTGCCTACACGAAGTAAAAAACATTTCAAAAGTGGTGTTTACACTCGGCCGGGTGCGTCCCCACCCACAGTCCAGCCCCACTCATGGAGTCTGCCTATGTATCCCCTGTTGTATACATATACGGCCCGAGCCGGCGGCGGGTCTGGGCAGTGCGCCTCCGCCGGCCGCACGATGAGGACGCACCTGCTGCTGCTGACCGGTCTGCTGGCCGCCGCTGGCGCCGAGTCGCCCCCCGACCGGCTGCTCACTCTGCGCGGGCCCGAGTCGCTGCGACCGGGCCCGGGTGCCGGTGGCGAGGACCCGCCGCGGCCCCCCGGACCCCGGGCACCAGGTGACCTGCCGCTCCACGCTTTATACCTATTGAACTTTACAGCAGCACGTTCGTCAGCCATAGCAGTGGTCGCTCTCCTTTATACACCAAGACATGTTTAGAGCAATAATGTACGATTTAATGTCTTTCTGATGTTCTATGTGTCGATATAGAAATAAAATGAATCGGTTTAAGCTTTACGCTGTTGGTGTGTATGCAGCAGCCAGAATCGGTTTCTCTCTCGCAGGTGGTGAGGAGCCGGGCTGCACTCCCGGCACCTGGACCTACGACGGCTGCAACGCCTGCCGATGCACCCAAGAACGGAAAATACAGTGCACCAGCAACGTCTGCAGGGAACCGCCCGCAGGTCAGTTCGAAGGGGAAATAGGTACCTACCTATTCAGTTCCTTTATAGATGACCATCTCTCCGGCCAAAAGGACAGACAGCATGATGCCGACGGTCGTCCCAAAATTGTCCAGTACGCGCCGGAAATAGACCTGAAAGCAGACTTTCGATTCAAGCCGAAACCATAGACACACCGTTCCGTCTTTTCCATCCTCAGGGTATTCAAATCCTTCGCCTCCACGCCTGAACCCCTGCTCTGGGCTGAACGGGCAACTTTATCCCATGCGGGAAGCTCCCATTAGGAGCATGGCGTAGCCAGGTGCAGTGAGTGTTTGACTGGCTAGGTGACCTGTCCAACGGATGGGATCAGCCCCGACGACTCACTAGGGACTCACACATCCAGCCCGATGTCTTCCCCTAACTCCTATCATCTTCCCGGCCCTGAAATGGTCTTTTCAGACCGAAAGAGCCTGACCCAGCAAAACAAACAAAACAAAACGATACCATGGGCTGAGCACTTATGTATTATTATCTTTTAACTTCATACTTTAAGGACGTTTTATAAGTTTAAAAAATGTTATTTTGCGTCGCTTTTATTGATAATAATATCATGTGGATGATGGAATGCCTATTGCCGCCTATATATAGTGATGGGTCTAGAGTTATGAAGAGTAATGGACGAGAATATTGAAGAGTTCCAGTGGGAGTTATGAGGGAGAGTAAAGGAGAGTGAGTAGCTCCCTGGAGTTTTAGGGAGTCATTTTTGGTAACTCTCGATAGCTCTCCCAAAGGGAGTCAATATTTCTCTCAGTGTACAGAGGCGAGCTCTTGAGCGTGTCAAGCTGTGTGTGGCGGATTTTCACACGGTCTTATCTGAGGTTACATCAGACGACAGGCAGATTCATTCCCCAATATAACTGAGCAGTAGAAATGCGGCAACGACTCAGTTACCGCCGGATTTTATCAAATATTAACCCGCGCCCTGCTGGGGGGGGGGGGGTGTTTGAACACCCCCCTTGTGGTTTTTCGCGAAGTTTTTGGTACACCTTATCATACATCAATTCTACACATGTTGTGAAAATTTCAGACCAAGGTCATTCAAGGTCAGGTCACCAGGTCACTTGAAGTGACCTCGCCTTATAAAAAGTTTCAATGTCTGCCATTGCTCCACCGAGTGACCGATCGCTTTGAAACTTTCAGCGATTGATAAGGGTAACAGTATCTATAAAATTTATGTCTCAGAATTTTGATATCGGTGACCTAAGGTCAGGTCAATTTTGCGACCTCCCCATTATAAGTCAATGGGAGAAAATTGAAATGCGCCTCTTTTGGACGAAAGACATTATAAACACTCCCAAACACTGAATTACAAGTGGTTTAAACACACTGAACATAAAAATGGTGTCCGTGACCCCTATTTATGCCCCTGAGGTCATCTCAGGTCAAGAATGGTGTTTAACAGTCTTTCGCAAATAACTTTTGATAGAGGCATGCTAGAGCGGTGAAAACGCCTTAGATGTGTTCAGCTCGACGATACGGATCGACTGATATGCAACATGACCTTTTCCGGTCAGGTCATGACCTTGACCTGAGGTCAAATTTTCAAGTTGACCTTTCAAGGTCAAGTTATAGTTCATTCGATGCGTCTTGACGAGAGGAACACGATGCCGGTAAAAGTAAGCTCGTACAAGGCTTGGGTCGAAAATTACTGCAGAAAAACTGTTTCCGGAAAAAATCGGCTATTTTTGCAGTTTTTGCCCCCTGCAGGCAAAACCGTTGACGTTAGGTCAAATCTGAGAGAATCACTCAGAAAGGGCGTTAATAGGGCTATCGAATGCGCTTTTCCACGGCGCTTTAGCTCTATTGGTTCCCGAGTTATGCGTTGGGTTCCTGGAAATTGTCGACATTCGACCTGAAAATCGGCGAAATTTTGCCTTAAATGACCTCTGGTGACCTGACCTTTGACCTGACCAAAAAAGTGACCAAATGATTTCGTCATTATTTTTGGCGCTCTTTCGAACGCCGCCTTCTGCGTATCGCTACGTGGCCCAGGAGCCGAGTTAGAAGGGGGGTGTTCAAACACCCCCCCCCCCAGCAGGGCGTGGAAATCCAGGACCCCCAGCCGGGCGCGGGTTAATAGGTATTAATATTCTTATGATAGTCTTCGATCAGCTAATCCACCACTCGTATGAACCAAGGCAGCATATCTGAATTGATCAATACCTAATTATTTCAGTCTCTCACAAACCCATTTAGTACGAGGAGGTATCGAAAAGTTCTGATCGTCACCATGAATTGTAGATTCACACTGTCCTGTAAATCACTGCTTCACCTATATAACCTGAGACGTCATTTCTGTCATTGAATCACCGGCCATGCTGTGGATTCTTCATCTCCCGGAACAATCCAGAATCACTTAATACTAGGTAAGATGAACTTGTTAGATGCGGTAGGATTTAACCGGTGGGATAATGCGGTAGGATTTAACGAGAACGAAGCGAACGTAGAACGGTTTTTGTAGCGAGAACGGCGAGGCGGCGTTATGGAAGGATCTCACCAAGACGCATCGGCAGCAATCCTGGAATGTGACTTGAGGTTAAGTAACAGGTCAAGGTCAGGTGAAATGTCGAATTTGAGCATATTCACAATTATGACTGGCGAACGCAGTGTTGAAGACGTTGAACGTATTTTCACCTTAACTGTGTAGGCAGGCATAAAAAACTGATGAAACTATTGCTCTTTCACGACATTTCCTAAGGCATTGGTAAGTTTGCAAAAAAAATATCACTGATTTTAAAGGTAAATAAGTGGCATTAAACGTATCATTCACGGCTAGTGTTAGCCGCACAACTAAACGGGAGTAGGTATCGTCTGTGTCGCCGGAGGTCAATTTTAGCTCAATTAAGGCACACTGGATCTCGCATTCGGATTACCAGTTTGTGGGTTTGTGGGTTTTTTCAAAGTTAACCCTCGCCCGCACATGCCATTTTCCCATCCTAGAACGCACATGGGGGGGGTGGTTGCCACCCCCCCCCGCGCCGTTTCGTTCCTGTTGGAGATAGAGCTTAGCGGTAAAGACCAAAAAGATTCTTTGGGAAGAGACGAATCCAATGATACCCAGTTTTACCTTCTCAGGTCAGTCATTGACCTTCCAGGTCAGGTCAAACTAAAAAATGTTGCTGTTTTAGGTCACCGTTGGATATCAAGCGCGCTGCTTGTCATATACCGATGACGATGCCGTTTTCTGGTGCCAAGCCAGCTAGAACCTCTTTGTCACACTACCCGACCAGGTTTTTGCTGCTGAGGTCATCTCAGGTCAAGTTAGGTCAAGGTCAATAATATGTGTTTGTATGTCTGTGTGTGTCTGTGTGTATACTGATGTGAGCACCGATTGTTTATGTGTCCATATTACATGAAATCATGATCTGAGAAGCTTTTACCAAAAATGTAGTCAAAAAATTTCAAAAAAAGTAAATTCAGCTTGCCTAAAACGCAATTATCTTAGATGACCTAGGTTGACCTTGACCCTGACCTTGACCTCTGTACATCGTCGAACAACATGTTTCATGATAGGTGGGAGGTAGGATTGGCATAAAAGGCCGAAATCAAGGTGTTAAAAGCTCACAAGGCCCATAGCCAACGCAAGATGTTGAGAATTGGCCATTTGGGTCATGACATGACCTGAAAAACAAGGTCATATCTCCGAAACCAAAAACCACAGAAACTTGAAATTTTCAGTGGACATCAAGAAAGGATAGAGGAGCAGCTATACGAAAAATCAGCCTTCTAGCTCTAAAAATGTTGAGTGCAGAGCAGAAAGACTACCTGGGGGGGGGGGTGGCAACCACCCCCCCCCCCATGTGCGGGCGAGGGTTAAAGAAAAGAATACACTCTACTTTGAGTGACCCACACTGCCATCTAACTAGCGAGTGTGCGAGTTTTATCTTTCTAGTTGAGGTTTATTTGCCATTCATGGGTTTACAGTGCAGGGATATTTCTATCTCGCACTCCTCTGAGATGCAAAGATAAGAATTTGTTATCTCTGCATCTCTCTGAGATGCAAAGATAAGCTCTCGAGGGTTCATAGCGAAAAATCAAGAGTTCATGTGATGATGGGTCAATAACCGAACGACATTTTTAATTGTTGTTTATGGATGAAACTCATGAGATAAGAACAAACTACTCTGAATCTATTTTTACATAGATGATGCATTTAAATATAATATTTTATTAATTAAGAATAAACCTCAACATAAAAAGATATAGGATACCTCATGGCTCACTCGTGGAAGATCGGATATCTTTTCCTCGCGTGTTACAGAAAAACCTCGCTCCTTCGTCGCTCGGTTTTTCAGTAACCCGCTTGGAAAAGATATCCTTATCTTCCACTCGGAGCCATGAAGAATCCTCTATAACTTGCGAGCCACCTCGAGTCGCATTAATAAGGTTGACTTTGAGTCAACTTTCGGTTTTCCTCGCTGCGAGGGCTCAGAGTTTTGATGTGTTTTGTTGGTGTCAGTTATTGTTTTATTGTGCTGTCATTGAGATAATACGTAATTTTCTGAAGGTGTATCGTCTTCACGGCATTCAAGGAGTAAAAAACGAGAATGATGTCCTCGCTCCATGAATATGATACCCGCACGTCCGTAACTCGCAGACTCGCAACCCGCATGCGAGTGCCAGTGTGGGGCGGCCTTTAAAGGTGAAGGTTAGGTCCAGGTCAGCAGACATAAATATTGGAGTGTCGCTAACTAAGCATTATCGACATACGGTGCGCTGCAATGCTGTATTGTGTATACTACACTGCACCATGTCACTATAGAGCGCTGCAGACTGTCTTGGCGTACAGCTTGGATGTTTACGATCGTTCAAGGTGCCCGTAAGTGACCATCCCACCTTAACCCGCGCCCCGTAGGGGGGGGGGCCGAAACGGCCCCCCCCTGTCCTTTTCGGTCGATATCTCCTAAACGGCTGGAGATATCGCCACCAAACTTTCAGGACCCCTCCGGGCATCAATTTTA